GTCTAGACATGGTAATAGTGCACTTGCGAGCAGCCGTCCCTTGAAGATGATGACAAGGCTACGCTGAAGATTGAAGAGCTGCGTTGGCAACAGGCTGACGTGGCGCTGGTACGGCTGATGTGGCACATTGTTATGTGGCATGCAGGGCATGGTCTGACGTGGCACGTACCTGTTACTGCTTGCTATTGATGTGCTGACTTGGTATATTGTTGGAAGGTAGACCTGCATTGTGACGTGGCATCCCTCCTTGTAGACCTATCGGGTCCTTGATTTGCTGACGTGACAGACTCTTTGAGTTGCTGTGTTGGCAGGCCAGGGGTGACACGTGGCATGTGTAAGGACTGTTTTATGTGTGAATGTGCACTTGAGGTGTATTGCTGCTGCAGATGATTGAGAAGAGAACTAACCATTGATTGTGTTATGTGTTGGCTCTACTCACTTGTTGGTTGTCTGTGGATGTTGTGCATACTTACTCTTGTGCTGTTGTCTTGATCACATTGGCCGTGGCTGGGGTACCTGTAGTTGTAGAGTGTCATCACAAAGAATAGACAGCAAAGTTAGAACTCATGAAAGACTTAGAAATTTGTTTCTTCTGATAATTTCTTGTTGTAAATCGTTGTAGAAGACCCGTGTACTGTTGAATTTATTTCTGTCTTTTAATTTTATTTATTGTGCAGTAAATACACGCGCAAAATGAACTCTCTCTGGAAATGTCTGTGTGCCTCCATCTTGACGCAATTTATTCCACTCCTCTTCTTTCCTATCCCTCTCATAGTCTACGCTAATGAAGAAGTAGCGGATCTCAAGACCCGTGGACAGATTGATGCAAGGAGGCAGACTTTGGCCGACCTCCTTCGCCACCTCCTTGGTGAGATACACGGTGTCGGACCAGCAGTTAAACAGTATGTTCACCGACAGTTCAACCTGCGAGTAGCAGAGGGTGAACTTGAGGCTGCAAAAACTAGTGTTCAGATGCTGGAAGCCGGGCGGCGAGTCGAGGAACTCATTCGACAAGGGCGTATGACTCTTGACCGGTATGTTGCCGAGCAGTTGGAAGAATTGAGCTGGAAAGGAAAGCAAGAAGAAACAAAAGAAGAAAAGAAAGTGGAACCACAACTGTTTGTAGAACTAATGGAGGAAAATGTCAGACAATTAGAAAATACCTTGAGGGAAGAGAGAAGAAAAATTGAGGAGTTCAGAAGAAGGAAAGAAGAGAAAGAACAGCAGGAGAGAATGTTGGAAGAAATGAGAGAATGGTTTCACTTCGGGGAGGTTGAGACGGATCTGTCAACTGTATTGCAATCTATCATGGCTTATCTTATTCACCTTGAAAAGAAGATAGACTCCAACACTGTCTTATTGGAAACTATGTTGAGATTGACGAAAGGTAAGATAGGAGACGAAGGGGGAAGATAGGAAACCACCCCAGGAGAAACTCATGAAAGATGCAATGCGGACGGTAGAGAAACCCGGACCCTCGAAGAAGGATTCCGAAGAATCGGCCAAGAAGAAAGAAGAACCGGCCGACAAGAAGGAAGAACCCGCCAAAAAGGAAGAGCCCGTAAAAGAAGCGGAAAAACCAAAGAAGAAAGAAAAGGTGAAAATGAAATTGTCGTTCACGTATAACAACAAGGAGGAGAACCTGTTGTTGTGGATCGCAGAGATCCAGATTTATTGTAGCACTGCACCCATTGAGCCTGAAAGTAGGTTGCTTTATCCACGTCTTGTCTGGGAGGAGTGGCCAAAGAATGGGTGTTGGCTGAATCCAACGCTGCCGGTTTTGAGGACATAGGTGAGTGGTCTAAGACTCTGACGTTGAGACAATTTCTCCAAAAGATAAAGGAGAGATTTCTCGACAAAACGACGACTGACAAAGCTTTCGACGAGATCACCACAATAGGTCAAAAGCGTTGGACTTCTGTTGATGCTTTGTTTCGTGAAGTGGACCGTCTGTTGCAGGTACCTGGACCGAACCCTTAGGACAACCAGGTTCTATACATCTACTCACGGGCATTGCCCGAACCTATTCGCGGACAGCTCGTGGCAGAAGCTAAGTTTGGTAAGTATAACTATCGGTAGTTTCGCGATCTCGCTCTCCAACGAGAGCAGATCACCGCGCAAGTAAAAAGGTCTTACGCTTTAGTAGTCAAATCGGGACCGGTTGGTGGGTATGGAAAGCGGGTCCTTTGGCGGCAAAAGTGCGAGGACCATATGCTTGTTGTATTCGATGATGGAACGGTAGAAAGGTTACCTCTTGGTGAGTCTGAGGGAGGAGGAGGTAACGGCGACAATGAATCTGGGAAGGGTGATGTCACCATCGTAATGGCCAACAAGGGAGGCCAGACCCGGTGGAAGAAGAAGAGGCCACGCTCGTTCCCTGAGCATCCCAGAATAGCGTTCGGGAGACCTTGGGAGAAAATGAACATGACTCGTGAGGAATGGCAGTCCAAGATGGACAACCGCCAGTGCCTCAAGTGTGGCACCGTGGGGCACGTGATAGCCTGGTGCCCGGTTATTCGTAACCGAAAAGTGAGCAGCCAGTAAGAGTAGCATCTGCTCCTATTGAGTCGAAGGGTATAAACAAAGAAAAAGGTAAGGCGCCTACAATCCCTTCTACCCCTTCGACTCTCAAGGCAGAGGATGACTTTTCTTCCGCCGTTGTCCAAACCACCCTGACAAAGTTATTTGTTCTGGACGATTCCCTCGACGAGCTCGACAATGAACTAATTGCACTAAGGAGCTCATGGGCGAAGAAAGCAAAGTCTAAGGGTGAGGTAGTGATCGCGGATCCTGAGATTCCGCACACGCGAGTAGGTGCCCTGTTAGATTCGGGATCGACGTGGTCTTATATCTCAGAGAAGGCAATTTGAAAATTGCATCTGGGAATGAAGGTAAAGGATTTACCTAGACCTATCACGTATATACTGGCTGACAAGAGCACGATCACTCTCTCTCAATACGTCGATCGTGTTAAGTGTTATTTCAGAACCAAGGAAGGTAAAAAGATTCTACACGGGGTATCCTTTCCTTATAGAAAAAAATTTACCCTTTGACTTAATTATGTGTATGGATTGGCATGAGGAAGCCGACCCAGAAGTTAAGTTCAAAGATAAAATTGCCAAACTCAAGGATGAGAAGTCTGAACTACGTACAATAAAGTTATATCATAGGTCTGACTCTCACTCTACTCTGTCTTTCTGTTGTATGAGTTATCCAACTTTTCGATCGATGGTCGTTAAGAAGAAGTTAGATCAGGAGGTGATGATGGTGCTTGTTAAACAAGTAGGTGAGTGTTCTTCATCCTACCCACCTTCTTTTGAAAAACTTCTTGACGAATACAAGGACTTGCAGTCTAAACCAACGAAAATTATTGAGCGTGCTATCAAGCACACAATCGAGATCATTCCCGGAAGTAAGATTCCCAAGGCCCTATTTACCGTATGTCTCCAAGGAAACTTGAGGAATTACGAAATCAACTGAAGGATGGATTCGCCCTAGCTCATCTCCTTATGGTGCACCTATCTTATTCGTACCCAAAAAGGAAGGTGAACTTCACTTATGTATTGATTATCGCGGGCTGAATTTCGTCACTGTTAAAAACGTTGAACCTCTTCCGCGCATTGATGATCTATTGGATCAGTTGCAAGGGTGCAGGTATTGCAGTAAAATTGATCTTAAGTCAAGATACCACCAGATTGAGGTAGCTCCTGAGGATCAACACAAGACGGTTTTCCGAACCAGGTATGGTCACTACGAGTTCGTGGTTATGCCTTTCGGTCTATCCAATGCATCTGCGACCTTCCAGAGGTCAATGAATGAGTTATTTCGTCAGTGGCTTGACCAATTCGTAATAGTCTATCTCGACGACATTCTAGTGTATAGCAAAACACTAGAAGATCATGAAAAACACCTACGAATGGTCTTGCAGAAGTTGCGCGAGGGCAACTTCAAACAGAATCCGAAGAAGTCTGAGTTTGCTAAGCCTGAAGTTTTGTACCTAAGGCATATAGTAAATGAAGAAGGACTAAGGTCTGTAGAAAAGAAGATTACAACAATCAGAGATTGGTCACAACCGACATATAGTAAATGAAGAAGGACTAAGGTCTGAAGAAAAGAAGATTACAACAATCAGAGATTTGTCACAACCTAAGACTATAACTGAACTAAGGTCTTTCTTAGGATTGGCTAGCTATTATAGGAAGTTAGTTAGAAACTTCTTTTTGATAGCCTCTCCTATGAGGAAACTATTGAAAAAGGAAAAGCCTTGGTTGTGGGACAAAGACGGTGAGTCATCATTTCGAAAGTTAAAACATAATCTGACTCACTACCCTGTCTTAAAGATTGCGTATCCTTCGCTTCCTTTCATTGTCACGACTGACGCAAGTCGGTATGGGATTAGGGCTGTGCTACAACAGGATGACGGTAAAGGGTATAGACCTGTTGAGTTTATGTCAAGAAGACTTCCGTCAGAAAAAGTACCCAACTCTATGTATGAAAGGGAATTGTATGCCTTAGTAGCTCCACAAGATACTTGGAAACACTACTTGTTAGGAAGACATTTCATTGTCTACTCTGATCACTCTACATTGAAGCGGATCAAGACTCAGCCTAGACTCTCTGACAAGTTGGTAAGGTGGTCCGCATTCCTTGATACATTTGACTTTGAGGTGAAAACCATCAAAGGTAAGTCTAACATGGTTGCGGATGCTTTGTCCAGGCGTGCAGATTTCTTTGGAACTATTGTCTCTTATCTCGATATTGGAAATGAACTGAAAGAACAAATTTGCCAGGGTTATGGGAGTGATCCTATTTGGAGTCCTATCATCGGAACTCTACGAAAGAACCCTCTGAGTTATTTCCAGAATATCGAATGACTGATGGCTTACTCTTCTTGCTGGACAAAACCGAAGAACGATTGTGTATTCCGGACCTAGAACTAATTAAGAGTTTGTTGATTGGGGAATGTCATGATGCGGAAGGTCACTTTGGTTTCAAGAAGACATATGCCAATGTACGAGAATGTTTTGAATGGAAAGGAAAGAAGGAAGATGTACTAACGTATGTGCGGACTTGTCTTGTCTGTTAGAGGAACAAACCCTCACATGAGAATCCATTGGGACTATTGAGAACGCTGCCTATTCCAAGTGAGCCAGGTGAGTCTATCTCTATTGACTTCATGAGCATCACTAAGAGTCGGCAACAGTCAGGTAATGGTCATGGTTGATAGATTCTCTAAGTACGCCATGTTCATTCCTTTACCTGCGAAAGCAAGAACCGAACTTGTCATCCAAAAGTTTCAAATGCGATGGGTCTCTGAGTGTGGATTTCCTAAAACCATCGTATCTGACAGAGATGTTCGGTTCACTAGTCTGCAATGGCAAAAGTTGATGGAAGTCTACGAAACCCGGTTGACCATGTCGTCAGGCAGACATCTGAAACGAATGGTCGAACTGAGCAAATGAATTGTCTTTGCCAACAACTTTTGCGAATGTATGTCCGTCCTGAATAGATTGATTGGGATGAGAACTTGCCGAAAATTGCTAATGCATATAATAACAGCATACATACTGTTACAGGAAGAACGCCTAATGCACTACATAAGGGTTGGAAGCCTAAGCGTCCCATTGATGCGTTAACTAGGGACCAGATTCAAAGGCTACCCCCAGGAACACGAGAATTCGCAGTTTTGTATGAAGAAAACATTAGGAAAGTGAAGGAAAACATACAGAAAGTCCAACTGTAAATGATTGAACAAGCTAATAAACATCGCCGTCCTTCACAATTTCAGGAAGGGGACTTTGTCTGGGTTAAGTCTAAAGAATTTTCCTTGGAAGAAAACGTGTCTCAGAAACTGCTACCTGTCTACTATGGGCCCTGGGAAGTTCTCAAAGTAATTGGAGGTGAAGATGGACCTTCTTATTGTATAGATATACCTCCACACCTCAGGACATACCCTGTCTTCCATGTGTCTAAACTGCTACCGTATATAGAAAGTGATAACTTTCGCAAATAGGTCATCTATGTTTCCACCTTCTATAAACGGAGGATACGAAGTTGAGAAAATTTTGGAACATGGCTATTTCTCTACAGGTGGCAGAGGACGACCTCAGAAGCAATACAAGTTAACGTTCAAGTCCCAACCCCCATCTAAAGCTAGATTGTTTAGTAGGAAAGAACTTATATCTACTGCTCCTGACATTGTTGCGGCATATGAACGTGGGTTAACTGAGAAATGATGTATTGTCTGCGATGGCACTAAAAAACTGGGACAGCAGGAATGTAATAACCCATGCCATTTGTCTCGTGGAACTGAGGGTCATCAGAAGGCCTACTTGGCCGCCCTCAGCCCAGGGCAAATAAGGGCAGAAAAAGGCCCTACACGATTTCAGGGCCTGGGCGTGTGACAGTTGACTTCGGTCAACTGCCGGTCCACCCAACAGTCAAAGTCCAAAGGTACCTAGCCCAGGCCGCCGGTCAAGCACACACATTTGTTTGTATGCAGGTACCCAGACAACATCAGGTCCGAGGGAGAAGTCTGCTACTGTACAATCCGGGCTTTTTGAGATGTGAGTCAATCTGGACGATTGGAGAAAAGGCACCCGAGGCCAGACAGCCTCGACGACTGCTACATAAGGCTGGCCTCGAGCAAGTCCCGCGTTCAGTCTTGCTATGCTGGTTCGACGCTGGCTTGACTTTGACTAGACGCTGGCATTATGCTAGTGTGACGCTGGCTGTGCATCAGTGCTGCCGACGACGACACGAGGTGGAGGCAGCACGCTGGCATTGTATGCCAGGCTTGCTGAGGTGGCATGCTGACGTGGTGCTGCTTCTGGTCTTCATGGCATGCTGATGTGGCGCTGACTCTGGTATAAGTGGCGCTGCCTCTGGTCTACGTGGCATGCTGACGTGGTGCTGCCTCTGATATATGTGGCGCTGCCTCAGTATATGTGGCGCTGCTCCTGGTCTACATGGCGCTGCTATTGGTCTTCATTGATGATGTGGCATCGCCACCTGTCTTGATTATGACGTGGCATTGTCCACGCTGTCTACATGAGGTGACTGGTTGCGAGGAAGAGGAAGATCGGGACTGTGGAGAGATCGTGGATACGTACCTGGTTGTCTTCATGTCGACATTGCTCCAGTGCTGATGAGGGACTGATTAAACGTGCCACGTGGCACATTGAGGTTACTTTAGATACTCGTTCAGACTATTGATTATTGAAGTGGTGTTGAGGAGGAAGCTCGAAGCAGGAGTGGGCATTGTATTTATTTCCTCTCCTTTGTCTAATCTCCCTCCTCTCGCCTTCGTCTGTGTATGATTATCTCGTCTCATTATGTCTGGACACGATCTTGACTATTGGTAATCATCAGCTGGTTGACCTTCATCTGGACTTGCATTGTTGATGACTGTCTTCACGATCTGGGTTCATTGCACTTCACTTTCAGGCCACATCAGTTTACCTACTAGTTAAGTGATCCACCTCTTTGGTGGCAGGTCGTTGGTTTGATTCCTAGTGAGTTGATCACACACACACACACACACACACACACACACACACACACACACAGATAGATAGATAGATAGATAGATAGATAGATAGATAGATAGAGAGAGAGAGAGAGAGAGAGAGAGAGAGAGAGAGAGAGAGAGAGAGAGAGAGGCGCCCACATGAGCAGCTTATGCCAGTTTGCTGGCGATTTGATCGCCTTAGGAACCTGTAAGAATGAATCAGAAGCGAGCTGAAAGAAGTCACTGTTCGACTTCCACTTTGCCGCATTCTCCTTCTTCTGAACCTCTTCCTCCTCATCCTTTTGTGATTTTCCTCTCTCCCACATTTCCAGGTCAAAGCCCCCTTCCTCTCCCTCTTCCCCCTCCACCCTTCCTCCAAACTTTCTTTATCCTGCCATCCTCTCCAACCCTCCCCACATCCCCCGTCTCTCAACATCCTCTCCCGATATCCCCCTTCGCCTAATGTCCTGAAACTCTTCCCACTTCTTCTCCTTCTTGCATTCCCACTGTACTCTGGCGCCTCCACGACCCTGGGGCCGCGAGCAAAGCCGCGGCGGGTCCACTTGGTTATTTTGAAAGTTTGAAAATTAAAGAATTTTTATAATTTTTTGAATCTTTGGATTGTTAAGGTGGAAGTTGGGAAAATTCAAAATTTCCAATTTCGAAGTCTTAGCTTTTTGAAATTATGAATTTCAAAATTCTAAACATGAGTTTCATTGACATTTTGAATTTGAAATTTTGAAGAATTTAGGAATTTGAAATTTTTGGAAATCATGAAACTCTGAACATTTGAATGCAGGTGATTCTCTTCGCGTGATTAGGGATAAACTGCGGATCGCCAATCCTGCTGCTTTGCCAGAATGGGATGCACCAAGATTTTGTGGTGGCCAACGAGTGAACTGCTCAGTGAATGGGATGGTGATTGGCCTGTAAGTTGAAGCTCTTTTTGTAATGCTCAATTTCCTTGCAACCGAAAAGTGTCCTCTGGATATTTTATTAGTATTTTATTTTTGCTTTTATTTATCTATTCCTATTTGATTTTCCTCCCGTTTCATCCTTACTGGTAAACTTTTGACTGCTTAGCAGTGTTGCATACCCGCCGACCGCCAACACCGACTGCCGACCGTCTTGCAGCCTAACAGTAGAACCAACTGGTGGGCGGTCTGCCAACCAGTCTGTAGAGACTCTATAGAGCCATCCACTGATGTTTTCTCAAATCTGAGTTTGGGGCTGTATCGTGCTTGCTGAGTACAGCCCAAATCTGCTGAGAAACTTTTGGGAATGGGAGCAGGGGGGTACGGGGGGTATAGGGTGGTATATGGGGTTAGGTGAGGGAGGTATAGGGGGGGTTACAGGGAGTTGTGGGGGGGGTACGAGGGTGAGGGGGGGTGTTGGGGGGTTGTTCAGAGGGGGTATGGCGGTGTTGGTGGGGTTATTGGGGGTTGTGGACACCGCTCAAAAAAAAAGGGTGGGGTGTCAACCGACCACCGAACGGTATGTGGCGGCCAGGTAGAATGGTTGGCTGGTCAGCAGCCAACCAGTCGAGGGGCGCCGACCATCAGCATGACTCTGGTGCATAGTCCATTTCTTGATTTGTGCATGTCATGGTTGAATGAGCAGGGGCTATTCTTATCTTCCTTCTCGTGATCATTCCACTTTTAATGGATGTCTGTGCGGAAGTGCCGCATCTGGATCTCTATTGAAGTCGTGGAGTGAAGCAGAGAAGATTACTGAGGGGGGATGGTTTGGGGGTGTTGGGGGGGTGTTCAGGGGGGGTATGACGGTGTTGGTGGGGTTATTGGGGGTTGTGGACAATGCCAAAAAAAAAAGAGTGGGGTGTCAACCGACCGCCGAACGGTATGTGGCGGCCAGGTAGAACAGTTGGCTGGTCAGCAGCCGACCAGTCGAGGGGCGCCGACCATCAGCATGACTCTGGTGCATAGTCCATTTCTTGATTTGTGCATGCCATGGTTGAATGAGCAGGGGCTATTCTTATCTTCCTTCTCGTGATCATTCCAATTTTAACGGATGTCTGTGCGGAAGTGACGCATCTGGATATCTATGGAAGTCGTAGAGTGAAGCAGAGAAGATTACTAATGTGAAAAAGCTCTCCAACCTTTTGTGAGATAAAGAGGAGGATTTCAGAAAATCTCAAGAAAAAAACAGAATAAAAATGTCCGACAAAGAAGTGCAGCTTGTCCTGCCTCCTCTACTTCTAGGGAAGTCAACCTGGATTGTAATGGGACAGTGAGCAACCATGGTAAATCTTAAAATTTTGATTTTTTTCAATGGCAGTGATCATGACTGATGTTTGCTAAATAAAACCATGGTACCGTGGAGCCGGACATTGGACCAATCTGGTCGGAAAACCAGACCTTCTCCCAGATAGATTTGACATCCGGAAAACTGGATGACAATTGGACATCCGGACATCTCTGGCACCGAACGTCCGGATGGGGTACCCGATACCCGTGCGTATATCAGTATCCATAAAAAAAAGAAAAACATCGGAGGAGAGCACAGAAAGAGAAGCCCCTCCAGCTCAGGAACTCTGCACACACACAGAGAGAGAGAGAGAGAGAGAGAGAGAGAGAGAGAGAGAGAGAGAGAGAGAGAGAGAGAGAGAGAGATGCTTGGGTTCTTAATAAGAGGTCATTCACCTCATCACTGAACTTGAAAGGAACATCAAAAACAGTTTTTCAAAGATTAGATTTTTCTTCTTCGTTTACAGGGCTATCTCAGAACTGTTTCGTTAACCTTGTATGTCTTGAAACTCTGGTTCTGTAAAGTCCTCACCTGCCCAGTTCAGCTGAGTATTACTCAAGTTGCTGTTGATAAAAGCTTTTGCCCCACTGTGCACGACATCATACAAATTTTACTTTTTACTTTTTTTTACTATTCAATGGTGAAACCTTGATACCGTGGCTACGATCCAGACGTCCGGACCGCCGTCCAGACAGTCTGGATTCAGTCCGGACTCCAGATGTCCGGTCTGGAAGGTCCGGATCTGCCAAAATTCGAGAAAAAAAGAAATTAAAAAAAAAAAGGTCCAGGACCCTTCCTGTTACATCTTCGATGCCACACGGGTCCTACCGGACCCGACTTAGGGCCGGAGGGACACACCAGGGCCTAAAGGCCCGACCTTGAGGGTCACAGGCCCTAAAGGCCTGATTTTGCACTCAGCCCAGTGGGTAGGCCCAAACGACAGTTTGTTKGGGCCTGGCGGCTCTCTTGAGGCTGCCACCCGCCGAAGGAGGCTGAACCGTCCATCTGGACGGTCCAGGGTCTGGCTTGGCCTCGCAGCATTGAGGCCAGACCATGGC